TTGGCAATCTCAAGTAATACGGGTTATATTTAATTTACAAAATACTAGTAGTACAATCCTTTTCGTAACCTGTTGTGCCCTCAAATTACAATTTTAATGCCTTGAACGGTTCGAAAGTAAAAAATACAACTTTCCACAGGTCTCAAAGTTTTCATTCTGGTATAGAAAGCGCGGTTTTGAGTTGATAAACACACGAAAACTTCCTTTTTCGCCACGATCCGGTCTAATAAATTTGACAAGCTTATTATTATAAACTGTCTTTTAGATTGCGAGTTACAAAAGGCAAAAGTCCACTATTACATTTATATGTAGAATAATATCGTCGTTATACTTCTTTTGACAACGAAATGATAGGTTCGCATTCGGAATAGATGATGTGACGTCTTCTTTGTGTCCGATAATTAGATTTTAGTCAAGCAAATCGTGGCCTATACAATACACATCCCGCCACTTTTAGACGACCGACGGTGAGGGGTTGTCCCAGTCATCGTCACTATTCATCCGTGTACAAAAAAGAAAACATTACTTCCAAGCACTCATTCAGTAATAAACTGGCGACGGCGATGTCCTGTTTTTATGTCTGCTACAATGTAAGAATGCTGCCAAAGAAAAAAATAGGACCGGAAGGAAGATTTAGGCGGATTAGGTAGTACTTTAAACCTTCGTCAAGTAAGAAGTTTGACATGACTTATTGCGGCTTGCTTTTGACATTGAACGTCTTCTTAACATTCTACATTTATTATTGAAAAAGTCGTACAATATCAATTCAAATAATACAATTTGGTGTTCCACAAGGTCCAATTGCTGGTTCTCTACAATTGCGATATTTATATAACGATCTCTGTCTCAGGTTCAGATGCATAAAACTCTTCGTTCAAGACCCTACATTACACAACCCTTAATATAAATGCGTTTCTGAAATTTTCAGGGATCATAATTTGGGTTATTACGCAGTGTAATACTCTAACTTCTGTCAAAACTAATTAAGTAAATGTGACTATTCATAAGATTATATTTTGAACCTACTATTCTACATTAAAGCAAGTTCCCGTGAGAGTTTTTCGAGCGAAACAGCATCATGTTTTACATAAAAAAAAAAATGTGTATCTATGAATTTATGCATTTCTTAGATGATATTATTCTTAGACGTGCGAAATGACTACGCACCTTACTGTTATAACAATTAATAATTACGAAGATTACAATCTCCTTTGCGAAACAGAATTAATACGTTACCGTAATGACAACATACAAATACTAGTTATGCATATAGTAATTAACAGGAATTAAGTAATTAATTGTCCATGAAAGGGATATCTTTCAAGTTAACGTCATATTCTAATTGTCCATGAAAGGGATATCTTTCAAGTTAACGTCATATTCTGCACTAAGGTCATCTTTTTGGTCCTCGATATGTATTATTCTTCATTAATTAATAATATCTAAGTAGCTAGGAACACATATAAGATTTTGTATCACAAATGAAACTTTTTGATAAACGATAATCAGAGCATACAGCATGTATCTTTCACTTTTAAAACTATAATCTTGCCGTCAAGAATTAAGTTTTTATACGCTCATAATTTCATCAATCTTGACTCATTACTTAAATATAAAATCGTTTAATCAGAAAGGCATACTCATCATATGGACAAACGAACCAATAAATGAAGATCAAAACAGGAGTTTAACGATAAATTTTACTGCGATCATTAAAAGCAATATGCACTGATGATCTTTTCAGTAAAAAATAATGTAAATGACTTTTTCAATACTCACTGTCCATAGTTATTTTGGTAAAGAACTTGAAAGTATTTGTGAGTATCAACAAATTAGAATGGTCCTTCGAGAATAACAATAGTAATAATACTAATGTACGAAATATGTGAACATCATTATTAAATTTGCAACCGCCTCCACAATGCCATTTATACTTTACAAGTTAACTAATAAATTGTTAAGCAGTTATCTAACAAGAACAGTTTATGTAAGTACATCGTTTTTTTAATGCGGCACACATTGTAATGCTTGAAAATGACATACAAATACCTAAGTAAGCAAATTGAGATAAACAAACTTATCCTAACTTTTTACATCGAACAGGCAGGATGGTCCTTTGAAAAAAGAATAAAAGAACATCATTAATCATACCAATTAAGAAATGAAACAATCCTTTAATGGTAATTTTGAAATTTTATACTCTTCTGTTAATAGTGAGAGCTTACGATAATAACTTCGTTCAATCTCATCATTTAGTATTTTATTTACAATTTGTAAAATATATTTAGTATCAATAAATAGCAGAATTTACTATCAATAAAAAATACCTATAAAACGGTTTAACAAGCGAAACAACGCACAAAAAAATATACAATTAGATCTAATGTCTTTTTCTCATTTCATTTGCATCGACGAAAATGATTGTGCATGTAGGGATTTCAATTGTAAAAACAACAGTAGGCAATTCCTTTTTGGTAGT